TGGTGATCAAGAACAATCTTTACCATCACGACATGAGAAGTGGAAGAGGGCTCGACAAAGGCCAAATGTGGAATACACTTTCAAGGCCTCAATATTAGTCGCTGAGAGAATTGTAAGTACATATGACTTGTTGTGCATGTGTTAAGTGTTATTTAAATTGCTTTGGTAATTTATCGTGTATGTCTTATCATGTTATGTAAGATTTGTTGGTTACCTCAACCCATGAAGTTTCCTTTGTTCCAAAACCATGACATGATATATTAGTAGAAGCCATCCGAATAAAGGAGCACGGTGGACGTGTCCGTGGTGTTGGAGATGACATCAGCCTGAGATGGTATTTTGGTACATCTAGAAAAACCACTAGACATACGCAAAATGAAATGTTAGAAGATTTATAGAGGAAGATTGATAGTCAACAGAAAGAATTTCAAGAGAAGTTAGACGAGGAGCGGAGAACTCGCAAGAGAGAAGTGAAGCACATGAAAGAGTTATATAGTGTATGTGAGATTATTGTGATAATTCTATTTTGTGCATGTGAGGTATTGGGTTAATTTTGTTATATGTTCTTGTGTTTTTTATGATGTAGAGAATAAGTGGAACCATCCAACCATGTACGAATGATGATGATGATGATGGGGACGATCAATTTCTTGATAGAAATGTTGTATATGGAGCAAGCACAAAGGAGAATTGTCCATCTGCCCTCACCGATCACGAGATCGATAACGGGTTGTTGAATCCCTCAAAAGGATAATATGCCAATATGTTAAGTACTGTTATGCGCCACGAAGAAAACTTATTTACTCTTGCGCTAGAACATGATCCATAAATGGAGGGGTTATAGGAATTCATAATCTATTTTAAAGATATAAAGGATTTGATTGTTGTACATAAGTGGTTAGGCACAGGGTTAGTGCAAGTTTGGGGCACGTAAGTATATCTCATTAAGTTACATTCATTGTTTTTTTGTAATTTTGTAATTTTTTAATTTCTTACATTTTTTTTTGCATTTTGTTTAACCATTTAGGTACATTCGTCGTGTTTGTGTGGTGTTAAATAAATCAGGTACTTATAGATTTTTAGATCCAGTTAGAGTACGATTTACATGTAATACTCTAAAACTCATTGAAGACTTCTTAACATCACAAATAGTGGGGGGAAAGAATTTTACTTAGCATCATTCCTCCATAAGTGAGTAATTTTAAAATAATGATTTATATATTATAGTTAGTTTTCATGTTTTACCAAATACTAACTATATATACTTGTATTATTCATTCAGCGAGCATTTTCAATTGATTATCATATCTATTCAGACGAATATGGTAACTACACAATGTTCATTAAACAAACCACTTGAACCTAATAAGAAACATATTATAGGTAGGTAACTTTATGTTTATGAGAGAATCCTGGATGAGAAATAGATCTGGTGCGCTGGATGAAATCCTACAAGAAGTAGAAGAGGGAAGAAGACGTACTGGTATAGGGGTTAACTATCAGTCCTTGAAAAACAAAGGAAAAATTTCTGAGACAAAAATTTTCCCAGCTAGAAGGGAGGAAGAAATCAAGATGTCTGATCAAATGTCACAACATTCTTCCATACCACAGGAAGCTCAAACAATAGTCTAAATGTAACCATTGAGGGGTCTTTTTTGTTGTAGATATGGTCACACAGAACATGTTTGTGATAGGCTTCGTGTATATCACAAAAATTTATCTCAACTCAATTTGAATATGTTTGTGATTAAAACTAGGAATGAGGGGAAAGTAAAAGATATTTTGAAGAGTCTCATTTCATATACTTCTATGAAAATATCATCTAGTGAAGACTGGTAATTTGACAGTGGATGTTCTAGACATATGACAGGTGTGGAGAACCTATTGGTAGATGTTAAACCTCATACAACTAGCGATCTGACCTTTGGAGATGGTGATAAGGGAGTGATTAAAGGTATTGAAAGACTATCTTGTGAAGGATATCCTAAACTTGATAGATTTTTGTTTGTAAAAGGACTGGATGCCAACCTAATCATCATCAGTCAGCTATGTGATCAAGGTCTCAGGGTTCACTTCACAGAATCTGAATGTATGGTCACTAACATAGAGAATAAAGTTCTGATGAAATGAGATAGGTCTAAGGATAACTTCTACTTATGGACACCTCAAGGAGTTAGTTACACATCCACATTTATGTTGTCACAAGAAGATGAGGTCAATATAGGGCACCAAAAATGGGTCATCTACCTCTAAGAGGTATGAAGAATATTGTGTCCAGGGAAGCAATCAGAGGGAATTCCAATCTCAAAATTGAAGAAGGAAGAGTCTGTGGGGATTATAAAATTAGGAAACAAACAAAGATGTAACACCCAAAGCTTCAACATCTAACCACTTTAAAACCATTGGAATTTCTTCATATTGATTTGATGGGTCTTATGCAGGTTGAAAGTCTTGGAGGAGAAATGTATGCTTATGTTGTTGTTGATTATTTTTCTAGATTCACCATGATAAATTTTATCAAAGAAAAATTAGAAGTCTTTGACATTTCAAGGATCTGTGTCAATAACTCCAAAGAAAAAAAGGGAAGCAACATTGTTAGGATCGGAAGTGATCATGGTAGGGAATTTGGAATAGAAAATTTGCTGAATTTTGTGCCTCTGAAGGTATTAGTAATGTTCTCATCTCCTATCACTTCTTAACATAATGGGACCGTGGAAAGTAAAAATAGTACCTTGCAAGAATCTGCAAGAGTTATGCTTCATGCTAAAAAATTTCCATACCATTTTTGGGCAAAAGCCATGAATATTGCGTGCTATATTCATAATAGATTCACTTTAAGGACTGGTACGTCAAATACTCTATATGAATTGTGGAAAGGGAGGAATCCTACATCAAATAATTTCATGTGTTTGGGAGTAAATTTTATATTTTGGATGGCCGTGAGCAACACATAAAAATGGATCCTAAGAGTGATTAAGGAATACTCTTCCTTTTTCGCTTGATTGAAATTTTTGTGACTCTTCCTTCCTCCCTCGATCAGAACTAGACTCTGATACTAGTTGTTGAGAAAATAATAACAACAAAAATTTATACACTGGTGGAAGCATACCCACTAAAGAAGAAAAACATAAAAATTCAAAAATAAAACTCACAAAATCATAAATCAACTTGTAATTTTTATCAGGAAAAAATTACAAACCCTCTCATACAATTGCAAATTTTAAGGAGAAAATTGCAAACCCTCCAAACTGCAATTTTTAAGGAGAAAATTGCAAACGCTCCAAACTGCAATTTTTAAGGAGAAAATTGCAAATCCTCCAAATTACAATTTTTAAGGAGAAAATTGCAAACCCTTCTCAAATGCAACTTTTTAACGGAAAATTTGCAAACCCTCTCCCAATTGCAATTTTTGGACGGAAATATTGCAAACCCTCTCCCAATTGCAATTTTTTGATGGAAAAATTACAAACCCTCTCAACAAACTATTTTTGAACGGAAAAAGAGAAAACCCTCTCTAGACACTCAAATACCCAAAACCCCGATACACCCAAAAGACTACATTTTGTTGTTGTATTGAAACTCAAACTAACTATCTCTATTTATATTAATACTTAAGTTCTATTTTCTTCCTACTATCCGATGTGGGACTTGGATGAATATATTATTTAAACCAACATATGCCTCCAGTGGATGGTAATGATGATGAACAAGTGTTCTTAATTGGAACTAGAGGTGGCAAGTTTTTGCTAAAAGAAATGTACAATTTTTTGCATGATGAGGATGCAAGTGTGATTGCATATCATGTGTGATTGCCCTAGAGCCATGCAAGTGTGGATCATATTGTTCCTTCTTCATTTGCGAACCAATTCTTTAGTTTGGGTCTCAAGTCTTGGATTGAATTCAACATTACCAAGAGTATGGGGCTTCATGGAAATTGGAGTATTTTGTGGACTTTTGGGTGTCATTTGTTGTGGACTTGGCGCAATAAAGAAAGTCATATTGGTGGTTATATCTGCCCTATTGATCTGGGTGCACACATAGGTTTGCAGGTAATGGAATATGGTGAAGTTGTGAAGATGAATAACACTATTATGGATAGAAGAAGAATTGTGCAACATATTGCTTGGACCCCTCCGAATCAGAATTGGGTTAAACTTAATGTAAATGGTGCTTGCATAAATGAAGATATAACGGGATATGGAGGAGTTATTAGAGATGATAAATGAGTGTACTTGTGTGGGTTTGCGAAGTTTCTTGGAAGCTGTAACATATTCATGGCAGAACTGTGGGGGCTTTAGGAAGGGCTAAAGTTGGCTTATTCTAGAGGGTTTAGAAGAGTTGAAGTTAATGTAGATTCAACGTTGTTTATCCAAGTTGTTGATAAGTGTTATGCCAGTATGCTTGAGAGTTTGGCCATTATCGCTCGAATTCAAAATTATTGGAGAGTTTGGATGAAGTCATTATGTGTCACTCGTATAAAGAAGCTAACAAGTGCTCGGATAGGTTAGCATCCATGGGATGTGAGATTACACAAGATATTATTTTCTTTGATGAAGCTTCGATTTCTATCTTGAGTTTTCTTGATGATGATTATAGAGGTGTTGCCACCTCTAGATTAGTTTGTGTGTAGTTTTATGTTTCTTTCGGGCTTTAGCCCTCATTTTGTTTCCAAAAAAAAAAATTCCATTGTGAAATTTTATAAATAGAAATATAAGTTAAAAAAAATATTCTTTATCAGAAAAAGTAAATTAAATAAATTAAGTAAAATTAAGAGACCAAAGTTATACTTTAACCTAAATAATAATAATAAAAAGTATTATTTCTACTTTTATTATGAGAAAAAGTGTTATTTCTATTCCTTATTATAAGAAAAGTTTTATTTTTAACTATTATTAATAAAGGTATTTAAAAAAAATCCATTTTACCATCAAATTTCAAATAAATTACATTTTATGAAACTATTTATAAGCAACACTTCTAACATAAACATCCACACAACCATGGCTTCTCAAAATTACTTCACCTTCTTTACACTCTATCTCTTCTTCTATTTTCTAAGCACAACAACAACACTTGCAAGCCCAAAACCAGTCATTTTCGACATAAGAAACGACTTGCCTAACAACGTTGTAGGCAATCTAGCACTTAGATGTGGCCAAGACCCTACCTCTAATCCCAAAGTAGGAGAACACTACAACCGAACTTTCAAGGTGGATCAAAGTTTGGATTGCACTGCTCAGTGGACTAGGTTTTTCCTTACTTGGGATGGGTATCAAGAAAAGAGGGACGGTGGTCATTCAACCATTTACTGGTCTGTTAGAAAGGATGGTTTCTATCACAGCTTTGATGCATCTAACTGGAAACGGGTAGAGACATGGGGTACTGATTGATACTTAGTGCATGATCATGTATTTCTAGTAAACTACTATATATTCTCTAAATAATATGCCCTATTTTGATTCTTGTCCTTAATTTATAATTTATGTTTTAGGCATGATCCATTGCTCTTGGAAATTATAATGGTGAATTAGAGTTAACAATTAAAAGACTAACAAAAGAAACAAGTAAGATGGATTAGATTGTTTTCACATTTAAGGATACTTTCTCCTCTTTTGTAATTAAAAATAAAAATCTTGAAGGAGAAATAATAATCTTTAGAAGACTTTTGTTTTATGGATTGTGAGGTTATTTCTACGAATGTAGACTGAAATATTTTTTATGTCAATGTTTATTTTAAGTTATAAAAAATAATGTCTAAATTTTTTTTATTTTCATGAACTTATTTTATACATAGTTTTGTCATTTTCTATTCTCAAGTTATATGGTAGAAATCTTTTATTCCAATAAAAATTAACCACCTATATTTTTCCATTATCCAATATTTTAATTTATTTAATATTTATTTTAAAAAAATTTAAAATAAATATATTTTATAAATATTTCTAAAAAATGAAATTACTCACCATACATGTAGATGAGAATAATATTCTCAGTAATAGTATTCTCATAAATAACGTCTAAAAAAAAGTCCAGTTGTGACGAAATTATCACGTCACATGTAAAATCACGCCGCAACATGTTTTTTGCGACGTGAATAATTATTTCGCAGGATGGCGCGTGATAACTTTGTTGCGACGTGATTTTCATGTCACAAAGTTATGACGTGAAAATCACGTCGCAACATTTTTGCACAAAAATCATAATATTTCAGTTGGAGCAGCGTAGCAGTCAAAATGTCAAAATAGTAACTTTGTTTGCCACGTGATTTTCACGTCGTGAAAATCACATCACTAAATAATTAACTTTTACAAAATAAAGTTATAGTTTGATTTTATTTTTTTATTTATAAAAAATTATATGTTGCGACGTGATTTCCATGTCACAACCTTGTGACATGGAAATCACGTCATTAATATTTTTTATTGAAATTTATTTACTGAAACAAAATATACATTAACAAATTAAATTAATAAAATTAATTAATAAAATATATATATTTACAATTTGATATATATATTACTCTTAAACATAATATTTTTGTTTTAACTATTAAACATATACCATATAAATATATATTATATATTAAACAAATACTATGAATCATATTGTTTTTGTTTTAACTATTGAACATATACTATATATAACCATAAATTTATTTTTTTACCATAAATATTTAATAAATATTCTGTTTTTATTTTACCAAAAATATATAAACCATACATATTTTGTTTTAACTATTTAAAATATATACTATACATTAAACAGATACTATTAAATATATTACTTTTGTTTTAACTATTAAAAACATATATTATGTATAACCATAAATATATTTTTTTTTTACCATAAACATTTAATAAAAATTTTGTTTTTATTTTACCAAAAATATATTAATCATAAATATATTTTTTTTATAGCTTAATATAAATCATAAATCTATTTTTAAAATTTTGTTTTTATTCATATCTTACTATAATTCTGTTTTTTCAAAAAATTATTCTAATTTATATAATTATGCTTTTAATTAAAAAAAATTAATATATTATATTATGTTTTTAAATAAATATATTTTTTATAAAATCAACAACAAAAAACAATATAACAACAAACAACATATCCAATACAAATCTTGAAAAAAAATAAACTAAATGACAAAATTATCTCTTGAAACTAGCTTGATAATATCTTTGACTTTGTATCATGAAGATTGAAACTTGATAATACCTCTTGAAACTAGCTTCCAAAAAAAAAAACAGAAAAATTATTAATTACAAATATAAACGAAAATTTAAAAAAAATAATAATAAAGTGGTAAAATCATACCTTTGAATTGATGATTGAAAGAAATTGAAGAGGAAATTGTTTGTATGAATGGAAAAATATGGGAAGAAGAGTTGAAATGTGTTCTGGACTGGGCCCGCCCTGGCCCAAAAGCAAGAACGAAGGCCCAATCCAAGCAACTCCTCGAGGAGCGCGCGCCCGAGGATTCCCGCCAGCGCGCCCGACTACAGACTACAGCCGTGCCCGCCGTTGCCCGCGAACACAGTGTCCCCGACCACGGGAACTCCAGCTCGAGCCCAACTCGAGCACCCTCCTCGTAGGGCAGATTCTGACCGTTACCAAATCACCTGAACTCCGGAAAGACCGCGTCTTCATCCCTCCTCATTTCTCACAGAGCATCACCAGGAAGGAGACCACGTGCGGGTCCCCACTACACACGTAGAACCTGACAGTTCCTTTATTGGGCCAATTCTGGTCGGCCCAATGAGGGGATCTTGGCCCCGCGCTGGGGGCTATAAATACCCTTTGTTCCTAGAGGGTCAGGTATTCATCTTTTACCCATACATACGCTTTTTTGCCTGCTCATTCCGTCACTCATTTTAGCATCGGAGTGCCTTGCAGGTATCCCCCCCATCTCACTCAACTTCTGCTCGGAGCCAGTCGTGACGGTCCAAGTCTGATCAGGTAAGATCAGTGGCGCCGTCTATGAGAAACTAGCTTCCCCGTCTTGCAAAACCTCGAAGACCAAAGCTCAATATCACTTCATACCGTCATGGCTGACCAAGTTCGGGATGATCAAAACATCCGTGTCGTCGACATCAACAACGGCCTCGCAGATAAAAATGGACTTCCCGACAACACCGGTAACCCCAGTCATAACACACTCCCCGGGGCGCCAACCCCGGGCCCTCAGTCCACCGCGACGGAGTTACTGCCTCATCCTCTTCAGTCCCTTCGCCGCTCGAAGAAAACAACGCAGCTCCCACAAGCCATCGAGCTGCCCAATTTCAGGAAGTCCCTGTCCCCGCCGGAGCAAATGCCACAACCCGCGCACTATTCGCGGCGATCAACCAGACGAATTATCTCATCTTCGCCCAGGGGGAAAGATTGAGGGCACTAGAAGACGATCGAAGACCCGCGAAGAGACACAGGAGGCCCCAGACTCCACCTCCTCGAGTGACAGAGGTACATCTCCCGTCTCCCCCGTGGAGACAATACAGAGACACCTCCCGAAGCCCGTCACCCCGACCCTCGGGGAGACGACCCCTTTTGGAGAGGTAACCCGTCATTGAACTTGGGGGACGCGGCCACGCCCCCATACGGCAAGAAAGAAGACACTCTGGGGACGGGCATGAAAGAATCAACCAACGAGCACCACGCTCGAGGGATGCCCAGCACGACCAGGACCGTCGGGCTCGACAATATTACAGGTCCCCATCCCTGTCCCCGGAGCGAAGTGACGAGGACGACCCCCGCGGTCCCCTGTCATAAGCCATCATGGAGGCGCCCATTCACCCGGGCATGGAGAAGCCTGCACATCTGAAGGAATACGATGGAGTCGCGGACCCGATCGACCACATAGACGGGTTCGAGGCTATGCTGCACTACCACAACGTTGGGGGACCCATCAAGTGCCGGCTATTCCCTACGACCCTCAGAAAGGCAGCAATGGATTAGTATAAAGGCCTCGCTCCGGGATCAATCACCTCGTGGCGAAACTTGAAGAACCAATTCATAAGTTCGTTCACTGCGTCTCGGCGACACCCAAAGATCGAGGCGGCTCTCGAGGCCATCATCCAGAGACAGGATAAAACCTTGAGAGAGTTTATCAATTGCTTCAATCGCGAAGCCATACAGGTCCCCTGCGCGGACCACATGAAAAGGTATTTGATGGAGAGGGGGCTTCTCCCCGGCACATAATTCAGAAAGGCAGTAGGCATCGAGCCACCCCGAACATTCGATGCCCTCCTCGAAAAAGCCCGGGCATATATGGATTACGAGGAAAGGGAGGCGGCCAACAGAGCCCAGGACCCCAGAACTCGCGGATCCAGCAGCAACCCACGCCAGGAAGCCGCTCATCCTCGATGAACCGGGGAGAAAAGAAAAGAGGACAGACCCCGAGAAGCCCGAGAACAAAGAGGACCCTCGGGGCGTTTTACCGAATACACTCCGCTCACAGCTTCCCACGAGCGTATTTTGGCGGAGTGTGCCAGCACAGATTTTAAAGACGGCGGCGTCAAACGCCCCCGACCTGCCCCCGCCAAGCCCGGAGCAGACAAGAGCAAGTACTGTCAGTACCATAGGAGCCATGGTCATCTGACTGAAGATTGCATCCACCTCAAAGACGCCATCGAAACCCTCATCAAGGGAAGGAGGCTCGCCCAATACTGGAGAAACGACGCTCCCCGTCGTGACGCCCGGGAGACAAGAGAACCGGAAGAAGACGCCCGACCATCTGACGAGTCGGTCCCTGTCCAGTCCGCCTTCTCCGTCACCAGACCAGAGGACTTCTACGTCACCGAACACCTACAGGATCCACTCACGATACACAGCAGGTGGGAATACTTTCCCTCTGCCATGGTCATCAATGGTGGAGGATTCAACGACCTAACTATCAATTCGGCTAAAAGAAAGTTGGATGAACTGGTCGACGCAGCACCTCCGCAAACAGTGACCTTTGAAAGGGTAAAAGGTAGGTCGGAGCCCATCACCTTTTACCTCGAAGAGCTCCCCGGAGGAGCCCCCAACGCAGTCATTCCTCTACTAATAAGAGCGAGAATGGCTAACTTTGATGTGCACCGCATCCTCGTCGACGAAGGAAGTTCCATCGACGTGATGTACAGTCAATTATTTCGGACTCTGAAACTAGACGACTCACACCTCTCGCCATATGTAGGGTCGTACTTACAGGGCTTCAACGGCTCGACCTCCAAGCCTTGGGGGTATGTCGAGCTCATGGTTACCTTCGGCGAGGGCACAACGACAAGGCAAGTTAAAGTACGCTTCCTCGTCATCGACTGCCCGTCCCTCTACAACTGCATCCTGGGGAGACCAACACTGGCACAACTGACCGCGGTACCCTCCACCGTCCATTTGAAGATGAAGTTCT